ACATACAAAGAATCTACATGTAGCGAAAGATGTTACTATTATTTTACAAAAATTATAATAATTGTGGGAAAGCCCAAAAATATTTCGGAATACACTACAAATCGAAAAGGGAGGAAAGATGGTGAAACCGAGAAAACTCTATTTTGAGGTCATTAGAGTTGGTGATTCTCTCACCCTTACATTATAATTTGATTGATTAGAATTTTTTTTCTTCTTTTTCTTTCTTTTTTTTTTAATTTAAATATATTCTTAATTATTATTGTTATATTTTTTATATTAATTAATTATTATATCTTTTAATTCATTTTAAATTTAATTTACACTAAATTAAAAGTGAATTAAAATTAAGGGTATTAAAATTATGAGTTGTGAGGGATCTAAGATAAAATTTACTTTTAGCCAAATAATTAAGTATATAAAAAGGGAAATTATCTTTAAAATTAGAGATAAAAAGAGAAGGTAATACTTACAATTATATATCCAGCGTCCCCAAAAACCAAGCTCATTTAGTCTTAAGAATGGAGGTGGTGTTTGCGCAAGTGTTAAAATGATTGGAGTGGAACCCGAAGGGCAGCTAAATGCTAACTCTGGAAAACTGTGGAGTAGATCTAATGCAATATCTGATAAGTATATATAAAAGTTTGTTAGAGGGGAGTAAAATAACAACACTAATAGCAATTAAAGAGATCCAGGATGTTAGAGATCTTTACCAAACATTTTTTTAGTTATACACTCTTGGAGGAGGATGAATGCACGGTCTTCCTGTAGCAAATCTTGTTGAATGTCCCTATAGAGGTAGCGTGCCATATTCTTATGGCCATAAGTAATTGCAACTTGAAGTGCAAATTCTAACATTTCTGGAGGTCTTGGATCTCGAATGTCACGTAAGAACTGCTTTACACTTGAAATATCCCCATCGCAAATGAACTGACGCAAGGTCTCTTGTTCCCCTGCCAATAATGGTTGTAACTTGTTATTTAAGAAACGATCCATTTTTTGTATTAAAAATTTGAAGTTATAGTATCAACCTATTTCTTCCAATAATGCATTTAAAAGAAAAACTTTTTATTTGACCCTTTTTTAGCTCTCTTACTATCAAATCTTGACCCTCTGGTAGCAGAGACGATGGTGTAGGGGAGGATGATGTTGAGGTAGTGGAAGAGACGGGTTAATTGCACAATGCAACCCAACGCATCTCTTGTGGAAAAATTCAAAAATCATACGCTAAAATCTGTGCTTTTGGCAGCGGAAGTGGAGAGCGTTCTCGATACTTGGGCGATGAGCTGGTTCACAGGTTTGCAAATCTGAGAAGAACAAGGTAGGGGTGGGTGGAAAAATTCATAATTAAAGTTCAAAACCGACCGAAACTATAACTGGTAGGTATGGTTTGATTAGATTTTAAATATTTTTTACTAGATTTTGGTTATGATAGAATCTCAATCAGGTGGGTTTTGATTTTTGGGTTTAAAAACTGAGAAAGCCACTACACTAGGTTGTGTGTAACCGAATTATTTGGACTTTTTTTTTTTTATTGAAATTTAATGATTTTTAGGCTTTCCCACCCATTTTAAAATTTAATGCTTTATGAAATTCTTTTAGACCCTCCCCTCCTGTTCTCGCCCATACCCGCACCAAATATACTAAATTATTATTATTTTTTTTTTTTTTGGTTTTTTGATTTAAATCAAAATCAAACCAAATAATTATTTTAAAAAATTAACGGAAGCCAAAAAATCTGATAATTTTGATTTTGATTTGGTTAATAATTACAAAAAATTAGTAACTGAAAATTTGGATAACCGATACCCGCCCCTAGAAGGAGGTTATATGGGAGGATGATTCAAGGGTAGGGAAGGATGCAATAGTGAAGCATTTCAAAAAAGACAATTTTCTTAGGTAAATTAATGGAATAAGATCGACCCTAACAGACGTTGAAATTAGAAGAATATCACTGGCAAATTAAATAGTTAAGGCTGGAAGCATAATTTTCATTACAGGAAGTTAAAGAAGCAGTGAAAGAATGTAGCAGTGAAAAATCACTGGGTTCAAACTGTTTCAATGTCAAATTTATCGAGTTTGCATGGGATATCTTGGAAGATGTTACGAGATTTATGAGGGAGTTTCATGACAATGGCAAACCAGTGAAAAGCATTAATTTAAGCTTTACTGTTTTATAAAAAAAGATTAGGAGACAGCTTTTATTTTATAATTTTTTCATACAACTTTACTTGTTATTTAATAATTGATTATTTTTAGTATATTACAATTCATAATAATATATACATTCATTTATTTAACATGTAGATATTATAAATAAACATTGTATAAATAAATTATCTATATATCATTATCTTTGTTTTAATTTCTAAGATGGAACGGTGGAAATTAAAGACTTTAGCCAATAAGCCTTATCAAAAGTTTGTGTAAATTTGTGGTTGAGGTGCTTGCGAATCGATTGAAAGTTGTGATGGAGAATTTAATTTGTGAAAACCAGTCTGCATTTGTGGGTGGTAGACATATAGTTGATGGAATTTTGGTTCTTAATGAGATTGTTGATGATGTAAAAAGGAGAAAATATGAGAGCTTTGTTTTGAAGGCCGATTTTGAAAAGTTTATGTGTGTGAATTAGGATTTTTTGGAATTGCATGATGGAGAAGGGTGGTTTTGGAGCAAAATGGAAAATTTGCGGTTATGTTGTGCTTGTCTTCTGCCTTTATTTCCTTACTAATCAATGGCAGCCCCATGGAAGAATTTAAGCTAGAAAGAGGTCTAAACAAGGCCACCTATTGTCACTCTTTCTATTTTTCATTAGCTTTTTGGATACCGGTGAATTTACATCTTAGTTTAACATATTACATAATATATTTATAAAAAATTATTATTTTTTAACATGAAATTAAAAGCAAATAAATTTAAAAATGCAATTATACACATAAAATGTAAAAATTGGTTGAATTCATGTCTTTATATTTTATGTTAATAATTAAACTGAGACAAATAAAAAAAATGTGTTTAATTGAATGTATAGTAATAATTTACCTTTCTGTTATTGATTCAACATTCAAGAACTGCATTGTTTGATTTTAAAGTCGGTGTCTAATGGGGTGTTTAGAGTTGGGTTTGGTAGATTTATATATTTTGAACTTACAATTTGTAGATGACACTGTGATTTTGGGGAAGGCAAAACTGGAATAAGTGCGGGCGATGAAGGGCGTTTTGAGGTGGTTTAAATATTGATTTCCAGGCTGAAAATTAACTTCAAGAAAAGTATATTATGGATTGAATACTGATGATCTTTGGTTGAAAAGGGCAGTTGAATTTTTGCGGTGCGAAAAGGTTCTGTTTTTCTTTTGTATTTGAGAATGCCAGTAGGAGATGATCCCAGAAAGAGGAAAATGTGGATGTCTGTCATTGAAAAAACACAACGAAATCTATCCGGTTGGCAAGCGGGATGCTTTTCTTTCGGAGGCCAGCTTATCCTTCTGAAAATGGTACTTTCTTCTTTCCCTTTACATCACTTTTCTACCTTTAAAATGCCTTACTGTATTGAATATTATTGAGAAGTGTGAAAGAGATTTCTTGTAGGGTGCTTCTGGGACGGGACTAGGAAAACTCATTGGGTATGTTAGTTGGGAGAGGGTTTGTTTAGAATAGAAGACAGGTGGTTTAGGAGTCCCTAATCTTAGAATGATGAACTTGGCGCTTCTAGGGAAATGGTGGGCAATGTTTGAGATGGAGTCAAGGCGTTTATGGAAAAAGGTGGTGATAGAGAAATATTATGCGGCAGGAAGGGAAGTGGGGATGGGTAACACGAAGAGAAGGATTTCTAAAGTCTGGGTTGACATTTTATCTTTGGGGAGGGAGGGATGTTATCGAAGAATGTAGTTGGTGGTGTTTTTAGGTGGGAGGTGGGTGAAGGAAACACTAAAAGGTTTCAGGATGATGTTTGGGTTGGCGTGATTTGTTTAGGTGAAGTATTTCCAAGTCTTAAAAATTTGTTTAGAGATTCTGGAGTTAAAGTATGCGAAATGGGGAAATGGTGTGATGGTGGAAGGAATTGGCAGTTCAAATTTAGCAAGGATAATCCTGCTAGGGCATATGAAGTGGAGAGAGCTTTATTAGAGGTGTTAGAGAATGTTAGTGTGGTGGAGGGGAAGGGGGATAAGAGAGTTTGGAGGCATTATAGTTTTGGAAGTTATTCATCAAGGAAAGTGTTGGTAGAAAGTCCAATTCCACGTGAGAGTTTTCTTCACCGGCCTATAAGCCAATTGTGGATTAGATTTGCTTTGTTGAAATTATGGAAAATTGCATGTTGACCCATTTAATGAGCAAAGAAATTCATGGACAGGTGTTAATGAGCCAAAGAAAAACTTGCTTGGTTGGTTGGGATTTTTCACTATAAATACCCATGCATGCAAAGGCAATGGGCAAGCAAGAGAAATTGAGAAGAGCTAAGTGAGTGGGTGCTCTTGTGAGAAAAAAGAAAG